GACTCCAGAAGATTGCCATAAAGCACGAAGAATCTGTAATCTGACACGTCCACTACAGTGAAAAAGATTAAACTATCAAACTTTAGTGATATGCTCAAAATCTTTTCGGATCTTCAGTTCATAAGGAAATGAGAGAAGGAACAGTAGCCGATAGTTTTTGGCAGTCTGCACAACAGTAAACCAAAAAGTTACTTCTCTCACAACCAACTCTGGTGACATACAAGCCAGGCCGTACTAAAACTCCCTCAAAGCAAAGCATAGCACTATAGCAATCCGGAGACGAAATATACAGAGACTCTGCTACCTAAGAGATAAATCCTCCGGCAAAAGTTAAATACCTTCGTACGCACCAACAAAAGACAAAACAGAGGGAGCCACCAACGTTTTGCAATTTCTTACCGTTTATAAGAAATTTATAGGAGGCGATTAGACGCACTGACACGGGGTTTAGTATGGGTATCGTCCATTAGCCGGAAGCTACTGTGCGCAAGATTGAAGCAGAGCGAAGAACAACTAGATGTGGAGAAGTGATCTGATGAAGTCTGTGAGGTACAATGCGGCAAATGTCCCTGCCCTTACAGAGGCCATATGCGCTGGAGCAGCTATACCCCAACCGCGTTTTTAACGGATAGTCCGAGACTTAATCTTGCCGCACTTGAGCCTCCCTGCCTATCAACTGGCAGACCGACAGGTTAATAATAATTCAGGATTAGCCATAAAGAGAATGTTGGTATGACTAATTCTGATTGAATACACATAATAAATCAAATGTGAGGGAGTGCTTGACCGAGTGCTGAAGAGCATGGACAAAACGAAAACCCCGATAGGGTGAATCAGGACCGTAGGCGAATAAAATCACGTAAAAAGGCAACAGTGCGTAGAGAAGGCGAAATTGAACTATTGAGTCATGAACCAACAATAGAGTTGTCTAATCTGTTTCCATGAGCGGAAGAGAAACGAGAGAGTAAGTGTGGGTGCGAAATGCAATGGGCTAGGTGGGGAAACGGCGGGTACTTCTAAACAAAATAAGAGGAAGAGGAAGGCAAAGGTAAAGAATTCGAAAAGAAGATAGAGAGTGAGAAGAAATAAGGTTGGAAAAAGTGGGAAACTACAAAACTCAGTGAGATAGTAACCGCTTCGAGAGTGGTAGGGCGCTTATCGGACAAATTAGGTTACTTATAAACAATACAAGCCACGAGTGATCGTTTGGCTGCAGTAAACAAAGATTTCCACCACTCACCCACGCGGAGTAGGTAATTACCTGAGCACAAAACAGAATAGCGTTATACCTACCTCCAAAGCTCCTTCCACACCCCCATCCCCGTCCCGATTACGAGACAAAGTGGCACAATCGGTTTACATGTACTTCACAAAACCTGGCTTTGGCTCCACACGCACCCGAATTTCGCTGCGGGATTGTGAGAGTTTCACAAAGTGAGGAGTGCTAAAATGACCACATGAAGGCGACGGTGTAGCCTGAACACCCTTCCAAAGAAGTATCAAATTACACCATCACCTTGCAAAATAACGAACTAAGGAAATTACCTAGTGTGGATAGTAAGAAAGGTATGCGGTAGACCAACCTTATTCCCCCAATTTCTCTCATACCAGCAACAAGTGCAAGTCAAATAGACACGGGTCGTCAGTATCAAGACGTGTTCCGATGGTTTGAAAATGTGAGCTGCTACGAAGGCCACCGTGATGGAAAGTCATTGGAAGGTAAACCTGGCTCAGAGATAGGATTGATGTAGGCAGAATGATATTACGGGCGAAGGCAGGGCAGACTGGAATGGCCAATTTTGGCTATAACCGAAACCGGCAAGGCAACGAGCCGCGGCACAGTGGTTGGAGTGGGGTCGAACCTCGGGTGGGGCACAACTTGGAGTTGGGTATGACTGGCTGATTACGGCTACTAAGCAAGAGATAGCCATTGCTGTCTCTATTGTCTTTGTCGATAGTCATTCTGCCTAAGCTGCTAGCCGCTGTGCGGCTGCTAGCGGGACTTGAGGGTGAACCCGAAGACACGAGAGAAGGAGTGAGTCCTGTAACCTATTGGTAAACGCCTATATGCCACTGTGTATATTCCCGGTCGAAACCAGCAAAATACTAGCCGCTTAGCGGCTGCTAGCGGGCTCGAGGAAGGGCTTCAAGGCACGACGGAGTCCTGTAGACGACAGGTCGACACTGTCCAGAGTAGAAATGGAGTATACGTCTAGAATGGCTTTAATGCGAACGCATATGCTAGAAAAGAGCCATAGTGACGGAATGCGCCTGGACAATATGGGACTGAATGGTGAGTGGTATTTTAGCGACTGGTTTCATGTACGCTCATTCAACTGAATACGTCCAAAGGACGTAAGAACGTGAGTGGAGTGTAGGCCCAGGAGGCGTACACAGTAGGGTTCTCCAGTCATAATGTAATAGATTCAGTCCAGGCTTGGAAAGCAAGTTCACACCGTGGCCGAACGGCTGGCGCTTGACCTTGTATACGAGGAAAAACTGTGACCATATCTGGCCTAGTCAGCCTCGATGATGTCGCAAAGTTGACTACCTGCGGCAATGGGCCTAGGGTACTTTACTGCACCCACATCAGCGTCGAGTCAGGTTTTGACGCCTGACGCAGCAGCACCATACTGACAGCCAAAACAATAAGAAAATCATGGGGCGAATGAAGATGGATGTTTCCAAGCCACTTAAGTCTCTGCGTCCTGCCTGGAATGAAGGCATTCGACAAGGACAAACAGGCATGCGAACGTGAAAGCTCAGTAAAAACAGGCGAGAGGGGGGAAATCAACAATGGCAGGTATATTTTTTGGTGTGTAAG